TGGAGCTTTCATCGTTGTTCTGAATGACGTCATCAGCACAAAATTCTACCATCCAGCTCATATATATATATACCGGTGTATCTGTTGAAGATTATTTATTCAAATATTACTATTTTTAATGTAACGCTATTTACACAAATGTAAATTTGGTAAATTCAAGAGTAACTAACAGACCATATTTAAAAATATATGATCGAAAGTTCATGAATAGTATGTAAAGATTAAAAACAGTTTAATTAGGAGAAAAAATACAAACTACAGTTATGTTCTTTAACTAAAACAAAAAAATAAAATAAAAAACCATTGAATAATTATTAGTAGTAGATGTTACAAAATGCAATTTTCAATAATAAATATAAATAAATCCCATAACCCAGATTCAATTAAAGTTAATTAATTTTTGAAAGTATAGTTAACATGCATTCTACAATTGTCATGAAAAATTGACAATAACTGAATAGCGTTAATTCGTGATTTTAAGTGTCAGCAACAAAGTTCAGTTGTATTCCTCAATATGTGTTACTACCCAAAATGATTACTCCTATTTATTCTTTCACCCCTTACTTAATATATACTGGAAGTCGTTTTAAACTAAATATTTTCTGTTACATTTGACCGCTTTTATTTCCAGTTTCAAATACATAAACATTAATAGCTGTATTTGTAAATTTCTTACATTGCCAAAGGTTAAATATTTTCTGTGAATGTTTATTAAAAATTAGTACATTATTCCTGATTGAAAAGCAATTTCAGTCCCCCTAACGATCTATTGTAAGTAACATATCGTTTGATTATTAGGACTTCCACGCTCTCACACATGTAAGATAATGCGATCACAAACGTTTCGATATGACGGCTAATATCCGTAGTATATATTAAAATTTCAATAGTTGAGATCAGTTGAAGCTAGACCACCATGGAAAACCTGGAAGCACTGAACGGCCGTTCCGTCCTATTGTGGGACTCTTCAGCAGTGCGCATGCACGACCCCCCCTGGGGGATTCGAACCCGCATCTTATCAGTCTCGAGCGCAAACGCCTAACTTCTAAACCATTGAGCCGGCATCCAACGGTGTTTATGTCTAACTTCAGCTAACTAAAATTATTTTGATAAAATCTATTTCTAATAAATCCCTATTTATTTAACTTTCACCCATTGTTTCTATTGAATTAGTCAAGCTAATTTTCTTAAGAAATACTCCTAATCATAGTTACATTGTAGAGACATTTAAATTCAAATTAAAGTTTCTAACTACTAACTTACTGATCTTTTATGACATTTACACAAAGAAGTAATTATAATTTTATATAAATGAAATATCCATCTACATGTAAGAATTTAAAATCCAGACAGGAATTAATTTAATACTTTATTACCATCTAATTGTTATCGCCATAAAAACAAATCCATATAACCAACCTCTCAAATACTGAAAGTGAATTTTTATTGCATTATTTTATTATTTTTGTACTCATAAAAAACCACACAAACTTTAAAAGTTCTTTTTTACTGCCTAGGATTACTACATAAATAGCGTTTTAGTTTTTTTTAACGGGCAACCATTCGGGTAGCTAATCATAATGAATGCAAGTATTCAGTGACTAGTCACTCAATAAATAACATGATTTAGCTATCCATATGATCATGAATTATGTAAAGAATAAAGAAATATTGATAACATCATGCGTCGGTCAACTCGTTACCGTGATAGTAACTAGTAAGAGACAATTTTGAGTAACAATATCTATTAAGGGCAAGTTTTTTTTCGTTAGGTCGTAAGTGATGATATGAAAAATGTTATTTCATACACATAGTTCCCTTTATTATTTTAAAGAGAGCAAGAACAAAAATTGGTGCAGAATAATATGAATTCATTTTATTTCGTTAGGTTCTCATCAGCTGCTTACAACCTAAATTATTTAAAATTCAACATTAATACAGATATTGACATATTTATATATAAGAGTGTGATTAAGGATCAATACATGTGTATGATGATGTAGCGAATATTCAGATAGAGTTAATGAGATATGTTGATGATACCTTCATCGTATGTAATAATAAACAACATGCAATAAATCTGCTAGAGTTTTTCAATGAAGCACATCCGAATATCCATTTCACTATGGAACATGAAAAAGAAAACAAGTTCCATTTTCTCGATATCGCGATGAAAAGAAGAAAAGATGGTACAGTTCAACGTTCAGTTTATAAGAAAGACACATGGAATGGTAGTTATCTTAATTTCAATAGCTTTTGTCCAATCAGTTACAAAAAGGCACTGGTCAAAACACTGTTTTACAGAACAGAAAGAATATGTACTTCCGATACACTAGAAGAGGAAGTTATGAATGTTAAAAAATGTTTAAAGAATAACGGATACCCACTGAAATTTATTGAGAAATACGGCAAATGTGAAGTTAAAAAGCCGAAAGAAATTACAGCAAATAAAAAGCCTATTTTTACTAAACTTCAATTCAAAGGTGACGATGTCACAGGATCAATCAATATGAGACTAAAAACTGCACTGACAAGAACTTATCCTGCAGCGAAATTGATTGTCCTGTCCAAAACAACATGCTCTTTGACACAATCAAAGGTCGATAGGTATCCCTTTCATGTTACCACCAACTGTGTATACAAATTTACATGTACCTGCCAAAGCAGTTACATTGGTAGAACAGAAAGGAGAGCCTACGTCCGATTCAAAGAACATATTCCGAAAAGTTTAAGGTCAAATGGATTGAACGCATTCAACAGTGCTATCGCCAGACATCTCCTTGATACAGGACATAAAGCTGATATACTGAAGTCCTTCAAGGTGATTAACAAACAATCAAACTCGAACCTTTTGAAATTCGCTGAAGCGTTAGCAATCAAGCGTTTAAAACCAGATCTATGTATACAAAAAGAGACAGTAATAAATCTTTCTTTACCCTGGTAACAATAACCCCCACTCTTTCTATTAATTTGCTCCTATTTATTTATTTATTACGTCATTATTGCAACTCTTTCTGAAATATAAATTACATCATACATAACTGATTGATTTCAATTCATATTTTCTTTATTACCATTAATCTATTTTCATGAGTTCTAATCACTATTTCAATGTTCCAGAACTTTCCCTCTCTAACTTTATTTATTTATTCGAATCAAACATTTTATGAGCTCATTAACTCTATCTGAATATTCGCTACATCATCATACACATGTATTGATCCTTAATCACACTCTTATATATAAATATGTCAATATCTGTATTAATGTTGAATTTTAAATAATTTAGGTTGTAAGCAGCTGATGAGAACCTAACGAAATAAAATGAATTCATATTATTCTGCACCAATTTTTGTTCTTGCTCTCTTTAAAAATGTTATTGTGTTGTTGAATTAACGACATATTAATAACCCTAGTTGAATCATTAGACCAATTTTAAACATTATGTTTCCTCGCAATATCGGTGTTTCGTTGAATTTGTTTCAGGGAATATTGAGACTAAAAAAATACTTACGCATTGGTGAAACATTTCAAAATATTGTTGTAGAGCTAATATTTACTAGTATTTATACATAATATGGTTTGAAACAGAGTCTAGATATTTTCAAAAATCATGTCACATTTTTGTACAGAACATGATATTCATTTTCTTCTAACCTATAATCTTACCAGTATAGGGTTGTGGTGATTGTTGGGTTTTATTGAGATCATGAAAATTTGGAAGCACTGGACGGCTGTTTTGAGAGGGGATTCTCGAAGTCCCAGTGAGAAGCCGAGGCCAGTGGAGTTCAACCGTGTCGGGTGTGAAGCAGTTACCCGCTGAAGACAATAGATGGTCGCGAAACATCGTGGATTAGTTGAAGTCAGACATTAACACCGTTAGGTGTAGAATCATAAGTGTAGAAGTTCAGCGTTTGCTTGAGATCGGAGGTACTGCTTTCAAAACGGAGTGCGCCGCTGAAGAGTGCTGTATTAGAACGAAACGGCTGTCCATGGTCTGCAGGTTTTTAATGTTTTAATATTGATCTCATCAGATGATTTTACATGAGAACATCTGTCACTGAGGTTTATTCATTATCAGAGAGTAAGTAATAGACATCACAACTTCATAGTCTACATTGATCTAGTTTACTGGAATGTTACATTAAAACAAGAACAAATTAAGTCACGATAGGTTAGAAAATCTATTGATTATTCTAATTTAAATAATACCAATTTTTGACATTAAATGTTCCATTTAGTAACATTTCATTCTAATAATTTTCGGAGACATTTCCTATGATTTTCTTCGCTGTAGTTACGTTGAGGGAAGAACAAGAAACATTTAGCACAGAAATAATTTTTAGCACCTTGCTTAATGATTAGCAGTTGTTCAAAATTTGAAAAATATTTGAGTGAATTTGCAAGCATCCCACTTAAAACATTATACCTAGTTTTATTACATGTAATCACAATATTTGTACGATTACTCCTAATTGAATAGCGATAGATTAAAATTAATCCACTTCTTGGATGATCGAAATAGATTCGTACTTTTAAGCAGGCCACTCCAGTTCTACAGACCACAAACTTAAAGTAAACTCATTATTTTAACTACTCCAATGATTAGGTAGAATAATTAACATCGGTGGGTGAACCAATGAATGGTTACGGAATTGCATGTATTAACAGATGTACGACACAAAAGTAACAGGACTGTATATAAGTAATCCTTAGTTTTGAAAAACCAGTGCTGTAGAAAAACATGAAGCAGTGAGTTTAGCATCAGTGTTTATTGACTGCTGGAAGTTTTGATGTAATCAGCGGGCAGACCTGAATATTGTTATCGTATAATCCTTCAAAGGATTTAAATAACAATTGGTTTTGGTTATTCCGATCAATACTACAAGAATATCTGGTACTTTCACAAATGTTGCACAAATTGATATTCGAAAGAATCTGAATGATTTATCCCAATTATGTAATGTTTAAAACGAATTCTTAACATTATGAATATTTAGTGTTGAACAATGGAGGAGAACCTTTAATGAAGTCGACCAAGATAGATCAGGACAATTATCACTAGATGAAATCAGAAACGTTTTACGGGAACTAGGATATCGTCGTGTATCTGAGGACGCTTTAAATCGTTGGATGCAAAGTGTTGACAAGAATTGTAATCAAATGATTGACTTCTCTGAATTCAGCGCATTTCTTTACGAAAATTGGCAAGAATAAACCAGACTTTAACCGAGCGACCAGATATTTATTTCCACAAATACTTTCCTCTAACAAAATTGAAAATATAACTACTACTGCTCTGCTGTATCTGTATTATTTTATATTACATAAACGTTTACAGATGCGAACTACTAATAGTATGGTTTACCTTATTGTCATGATAGTAATATGAAAAGTGAGATACTCGTAAGTCATGATTTTTGATTTAATAATTGGCATGCGTGTTCATTTTCTGGCAACGCATTTTGGTTTTGTTGGTTTGTGGTTGAAGCATTTTTAAGTTAAAAAAGATTAATAATAGACATATAATAATCTAACTGCTACCTTCGTGTCATCTTGATAAAATACCCTGAGAATATAATGATCTGTAACAATTTTATATTCTTTTCTGAGACTAGTTTATTTCAGTCTAGAAGGATGTTTGCCAATGTACCTCAGGCTAATCTACTAGAATTAAATTGTCATGGATTTCATTGGTGGTAGGCATTACAAACTGACTTAATCACTGTCCCGTCCAACTCCTGGGAGCATGGTGTTTTTAGTGTAAGTTGGTACAGATTTACTATCTATATGTTTAACCTGAATGTCAATTACTCGAATATTCTTACCATACTTAAGCAAGTTCGCGAAGAAATCACCGTTCAAAGAAAACCTCAAACAAAAAAGTGACTAAAAAAGTGAGACCATAAAGGTTTATTGTATGAACAACAACAAAATTAGTAAATATGTACGAAAATTCAAACTAACATCAAACATTAAGTTAGATAGTGAACACTTATAAAACAAAAAGCATCACATCGAAGTATCGGAAAGCACAGCTAAACAATTCTCAGTACAAAAATAATAAATAAAAAAACAAGACAGGAATTTGTAACATTTCGATATGACAAATAATTTACAATTAGAATTTTAAAATTTAACTTTTTCCTACACCAAAAGAAAAACGGATCATTATTCAGTAATGGTGAGAATAATAATAATAATAATAAACGGATGAAAATATCCCACAATCATTGATGAAAAAATACCACCAAAAAAAAGAAGTTACGCACTGATTGTTTTCTTCTTCAACTCGAGAACAAAACGGTTATTATCAAGAATTAAGCAATAATTAAGTAACTTTATGCTCGATCACAAATCGCTTCGACAACCTAAAACAAGAGCAAAAGCACAGGAGAGATTAACATTAAGTACATGAAAAAAACCTGACTTAACCTGATGGAAATTTTAAAATATTCATAATCAATAGATTGTTTCATTATAAATACACTGAAAATCTGATATTAAGAGTAAATTAACAGATGATGGAAGATAATGACTAAGTTATTAAGTGTCATTCTGCCGATGCCGATCCCGGGAAAATGAGGAGGGTTGGGCATGAGGTCGGCAACCCCAACCTGTAGAAAAAATCTTGCTAGAAAATGTCAACCAGATTCAACAAATTAAACCGTTTAAACTCTGCCCTGGGAGTTGAAGGAAGAATCATGACGCCTCAGGATGAAAGCCGAGATCGATGCCCCTTCTAACAACCAGAACAACAATTTTTATAGGTACATGAAACGTCCCGACAATAAAGGAAGACCGGGAAGACCAGTCAAATAGCAACGGAAATGAGGAGATACAACTTGGCAGTACTGGGAATTAGCGAAACCAACGGGAACCAAGCTGCACAACAAAGGATAGACACGGGAGAGATGCTGCTATACTCCGATCACGAAGAGGAAAACGCTCCACACACTCAGGCAGTTGCTCTAATACTCTACAAAGCAGCACGAAATGCACATGTAGGATGGAAATCTCACAGATCCAGAATCATCAAAGCATCATTCAAAACAGAGAAGGATGGAATTACAATGAATATTGTCCAATGTTATGCACCCACCAACGATAGCAACAAAAACGATAAAGATCAGTTCTATGAGAGGCTGCAGTCAATCATAGAGAAGTGCCCAAGAAAAGGCCTCACCATTCTGATGGGAGATCTAAATGCCAAAGTCGGAATAAACAGCATCGGATATGAAGATATCATGGGACGATATGGACTAGGAGAGAGAAACGAGATTGAGGAGAGATTTGCAAACCTACGTGCATTCAACAAATTGGTTATAGGTGGCACAATATTCCCACTTAAACGCATACACAAAGCAACATGGATCTCACTGGACCACACCACAGAGAGCCAGATAGATCATATTTGTGTCAATAGGAAATTCCGAAGGACAATGGAAGATGTGAGAACCAAGAGAGGAGCTGATATAGCTTCAGATCACCACCTGGGGATGGAAAAGATGAAACTGAAGCTAAAGAAACGGAAAGCACGGAATACAATCGACAGCTCAGAACCACTTAGAAGATTTGGACTTCACAGATCACCTAGCCCTCCTATCCCATACACACGAACAAATGAAGATGAAGATAACTAGTGTAGCAGCAGCTTCTGCATCAGTAGGCCTCTACGTATACAAAGGAAAAAGCAAGATCCTCAAATACAACGCAGAGAACACCAACCAAATCACACTTGATGGCAAAACTCTGGAAGAGGTGGAATCCTTCACGCGCCTGGGAAACATCATCGATGAACAAGGAGGATTAGATGCAGACGTAAAGGCGAGGATTGGCAAATCAAGGACCTCATTACTACAATTGAAGAACATATGGAATTCAAAACAGCTGTCAACTAACATCAAAATCAGAATCTTCAATACGAACGTAAAGGTAGTTCTACTGTACAGAACTGAAACGTGGAGAACTACTAAAACCATCATCAAAAATATACAAGTATTTATAAACAATTGTCTACGCAAGATATTCAACATCCATTGGCCGGATACCATCAGCAACAGCCTACTGTGGGAGAGAACAAACAAGCTTCCAGCTGAAGAGAAAATCACGGGAAGACGATGGAAGTGGATAGGACATACATTACGGAAATCACCAAACTGCATCACGAGGCAAGCCCTAACTTGGAATCCTGAAGTGAAAAGGAAAAGTGGAAAACCAAAAAACACATAACGTCCTGAAATAGCAGATATAAGAAGAGTGAATAGCAACTGGAAAGAGCTGGAAAGGATTGACCAGGGCAGGGTTGAGTGGAGAGTGCTGGTGGTCGGCTGATGCTCCTCCATGAGTAGTAAAATGCGCTGGACGTTGAACCATTAAGTGTCATTGATTGCATACTCAGTACAATTAGGCGAAGCATCGTCCTGAAATTCTTTTATTGTAAATGTATTACTCATGAGTAACTAAATTTTGATCCTAGAATTCGCTTATTGGATTTCATCCGTTAATCCCAAACAGCACTCAGTCAAATTGACCTGGTCATTTTCAGTTTGTCTGTGCTGAAAGTTGATTGTTGTTACTAAGCTTAGCACCTTGTATCTGATTTTTTAACCTCAGCTAATTAATATACACTGTATGACCACTTACTGTTTATATATTAACCAAATATAAATATTCCGAGAAGACCAGTAAATTTAACAACCACAAGAGTATCTTTTTAATTCAGGACATTATCCTCAACATCCTACATTGATGATACAGACCCCACTGAATAAGATGATTAACTTTGTCGGACAATAAAAATAATAACCACTATCTATACTCCATATGATGAAAATAGTTCATATTTGTAAAAATTATTAGTACACATAACAATTACAAATTGATGTACAGAGCCTTGAACCAAACTTTAGGTATGAGGATTAGTGACCTATTGCCACACTGCTCAAACCGAAGTCGATAAAGTGGGTCTAAAGCTACGACCTAGTGTTTATAAGCCAAATATTTTGACCACCAGGTCACTGCTCCCTCTAGTTCAAATAAAGTAGAATGGTTTGATACTGTATCTCGTACATCAAAAACTAAAGAGTAAACTAGGGTCTATACTAAAACGAATATAGACGGTTAAATGTATTAAATATAAATCGACAACCTCAGTTATATTGGCGAGTGAATGCGTACCACTTCGCAAACTCATTCCAATAATGTAAAATAATAAAATCGTACAAAGTGAAAAACGTTCGGTTTTACTCAAAGCCAACAATATTCATCCAACTGTACCACTCTTCTACCAACTAGACAAACAATGTTCTACCATTTGGAGTCAATCATTCGAGCACCAATTAGAACAGGTAGTTAAAATGTTTGCAGTGATATAGGTTTTGAGAAATGCATGAGGTTTTGTTAGAGAAGTTAGACAGAGAAAGCGGATATCTTTACAGAACATTTGTAGCATATATATTACTGAATACCTTCTTTAGAGTAATATAATATCTTAACAGTCACTTTAAAAAAAATAAACTGAAACTTACACTCTCTTCCATGAAACATGGATCAACGCAACGCTGAACAACACTGTAGATCACATCTTCTAGTAACATACAAATAAGCCTGGAGAAAAGAAATGCATTATTCTTAATATGCAGTGTGGGCTCAAGCATCAAAACAGAACTGATATTATATACACCAATCAAAACCAAAAATGTACACTCATTACGAGCAATGACAGTTCATTTTTCAGATCTCAGTTAATAGAACAAAGACAGAATGATCTAATTAACAATAAATTTTAATTTCATTTAGTATTGTTTGTTTGAATCGTTCTACTGATGTTTATGACTGTAATTGATCAGTGGGCAAAGGTCATGAGGGATCGAATTGGCAGAAAATGTGAGAGAGGTTATCGTTCCAGATGAAGTTTTAGCGTTTCTAATAAAATCTGACTATTCTTATGACCTCCTTAGCACCTCTCCGTTTTGGGAATTCCTTCACTGCTTCTAAATTTGACGGTCTTCGTTCGTAGTTATTTAATTCTCGGTGGTAATAACTTTTCTGTAGATTCCTGTGATATTACTTCTGTTCCGCCTTGTATCGTTCTTGGTATTTCTTTTGAAACTTTAGAAATGTCAATGATAGTTTCTAAAGCTGTTTTGGTTCCTTCTGATGAGTCTTCTACGTATCTGGTTCTTGTGGCGTATCCATCTTTCTCCTTCAACAGCCCCTTCAAAAAAGACTTCCTCTCTGACCTATTATTTCCATATTCGTTATGAAGAACATACTTGTTCCACACAATCTACCGACTCTATGTTCGTTCTTCGGACTCGTCAGTTATTACTCCGCATTATTTCCACCCCTGCATGGAAAGAAAACACCACTCAATCATCCACTTGAAAGGAATACTAAGCGGGAATGGACAAAGCAGTGTCAACTATCTTTCAAAGAATTGAAGCACTATTTAGATCCCACCGTCTACTAACCCATTACGATCCTACAATGCCATTAATGGTTACAGCAGATGCGTCTGCATGTGGTGTGGGGGGCAGTAATTTCACATAAATTTCCAAATGGAGTGGAAAAAGTAGTAATGCACGCAACAGATCACTAACATTAACAGAGAAATGCTACAAACAGATCGAAAAAAAAGCGTTAGCGGTTGTTTTTCACAAAATGTTGTATGGAAGATGCTTCACGTTGTTGACCGACTCACAAGCCCTTACTAACTGTTTTTGGCTCGAGGTTCGAAATAGCAGCGCATTCGGCAAACCAACTGCAGAGGTGGGAGATGACGTTGCTACGAGATCACTTTGATATTCAGTACTATAGGGCAGAAGATTTTTGTCGGGCGGACACTATATCACGCTTAATAAGTAATTACCCTATTACTAACGACGATTGTGTCGCTGATTGCACAAACGTTTCATGGATGGAGTGATAACCCCTCCCCACAGCAGCTTGCCAAGTAACAGATGTCACAAGACTCGATCCTTCAACAAGCGATTCATTACCTTCAAAATAAATGGCCATCGTCTTTAGATGAAAAACTAAAACACCTATTTCAACAACGGCAATCTCTATGTACAGTTAGAAACTGCCTTATGTTTGGAAAATTTGTGGTTATACCACAAGCATCACAGAAGAGAGTATTTAAACAATTTCATACTTAACATCCAGGAATAACCAGAATGAAATCAATTGCACGCAATTACGCATAATGGCCAGAAATGGACGTTCAAAGACATAGTAAACAAGTGTGAATAGTATCAGTGTGCATCAAAAAGTTCCAGAACACGTCAAATCAATAACTTGGTCAGAACCAGAACATTCATGGTTCATATTACATCAGAATTTCGCAGGTCACGTAGGGAAAGTGTACTATTTAGTGTTAGCACACATATATTCAGTTCTGCTAATCTAGAAATGCCTGCGTTACTTACATCCAAACTACTTGAAATCCTCATGAATTATAAAATTATTTGTCGATAACGTTATAGAAACATGATCGATGTTCGTTTAAATATCAAAGAACCTTGGACTTACTATGAGAAGAAAATAATTAATTAATTAATCAGTTCAAAAAAATTTGACCTACTTTTCATCATTTACGAAATGCCACAAATGAATTTGTAAATATCGGCAATCAACTTGTATTTGTTGTAGACCGTAACGACCAAATGTTTGTAAACGTGCACAACAACAAAATTAGTAAATATGTACGAAAATTCAAACTAACATCAAACATTAAGTTAGATAGTGAACACTTATAAAACAAAAAGCATCACATCGAAGTATCGGAAAGCACAGCTAAACAATTCTCAGTACAAAAATAATAAATAAAAAAACAAGACAGGAATTTGTAACATTTCGATATGACAAATAATTTACAATTAGAATTTTAAAATTTAACTTTTTCCTACACCAAAAGAAAAACGGATCATTATTCAGTAATGGTGAGAATAATAATAATAATAATAAACGGATGAAAATATCCCACAATCATTGATGAAAAAATACCACCAAAAAAAAGAAGTTACGCACTGATTGTTTTCTTCTTCAACTCGAGAACAAAACGGTTATTATCAAGAATTAAGCAATAATTAAGTAACTTTATGCTCGATCACAAATCGCTTCGACAACCTAAAACAAGAGCAAAAGCACAGGAGAGATTAACATTAAGTACATGAAAAAAACCTGACTTAACCTGATGGAAATTTTAAAATATTCATAATCAATAGATTGTTTCATTATAAATACACTGAAAATCTGATATTAAGAGTAAATTAACAGATGATGGAAGATAATGACTAAGTTATTAAGTGTCATTCTGCCGATGCCGATCCCGGGAAAATGAGGAGGGTTGGGCATGAGGTCGGCAACCCCAACCTGTAGAAAAAATCTTGCTAGAAAATGTCAACCAGATTCAACAAATTAAACCGTTTAAACTCTGCCCTGGGAGTTGAAGGAAGAATCATGACGCCTCAGGATGAAAGCCGAGATCGATGCCCCTTCTAACAACCAGAACAACAATTTTTATAGGTACATGAAACGTCCCGACAATAAAGGAAGACCGGGAAGACCAGTCAAATAACAACGGAAATGAGGAGATACAACTTGGCAGTACTGGGAATTAGCGAAACCAACGGGAACCAAGCTGCACAACAAAGGATAGACACGGGAGAGATGCTGCTATACTCCGATCACGAAGAGGAAAACGCTCCACACACTCAGGCAGTTGCTCTAATACTCTACAAAGCAGCACGAAATGCACATGTAGGATGGAAATCTCACAGATCCAGAATCATCAAAGCATCATTCAAAACAGAGAAGGATGGAATTACAATGAATATTGTCCAATGTTATGCACCCACCAACGATAGCAACAAAAACGATAAAGATCAGTTCTATGAGAGGCTGCAGTCAATCATAGAGAAGTGCCCAAGAAAAGGCCTCACCATTCTGATGGGAGATCTAAATGCCAAAGTCGGAATAAACAACATCGGATATGAAGATATCATGGGACGATATGGACTAGGAGAGAGAAACGAGATTGAGGAGAGATTTGCAAACCTACGTGCATTCAACAAATTGGTTATAGGTGGCACAATATTCCCACTTAAACGCATACACAAAGCAACATGGATCTCACTGGACCACACCACAGAGAGCCAGATAGATCATATTTGTGTCAATAGGAAATTCCGAAGGACAATGGAAGATGTGAGAACCAAGAGAGGAGCTGATATAGCTTCAGATCACCACCTGGGGATGGAAAAGATGAAACTGAAGCTAAAGAAACGGAAAGCACGGAATACAATCGACAGCTTAGAACCACTTAGAAGATTTGGACTTCACAGATCACCTAGCCCTCCTATCCCATACACACGAACAAATGAAGATGAAGATAACTAGTGTAGCAGCAGCTTCTGCATCAGTAGGCCTCTACGTATACAAAGGAAAAAGCAAGATCCTCAAATACAACGCAGAGAACACCAACCAAATCACACTTGATGGCAAAACTCTGGAAGAGGTGGAATCCTTCACGCGCCTGGGAAACATCATCGATGAACAAGGAGGATTAGATGCAGACGTAAAGGCGAGGATTGGCAAATCAAGGACCTCATTACTACAATTGAAGAACATATGGAATTCAAAACAGCTGTCAACTAACATCAAAATCAGAATCTTCAATACGAACGTAAAGGTAGTTCTACTGTACAGAACTGAAACGTGGAGAACTACTAAAACCATCATCAAAAATATACAAGTATTTATAAACAATTGTCTACGCAAGATATTCAACATCCATTGGCCGGATACCATCAGCAACAGCCTACTGTGGGAGAGAACAAACAAGCTTCCAGCTGAAGAGAAAATCACGGGAAGACGATGGAAGTGGATAGGACATACATTACGGAAATCACCAAACTGCATCACGAGGCAAGCCCTAACTTGGAATCCTGAAGTGAAAAGGAAAAGTGGAAAACCAAAAAACACATAACGTCCTGAAATAGCAGATATAAGAAGAGTGAATAGCAACTGGAAAGAGCTGGAAAGGATTGACCAGGGCAGGGTTGAGTGGAGAGTGCTGGTGGTCGGCTGATGCTCCTCCATGAGTAGTAAAATGCGCTGGACGTTGAACCATTAAGTGTCATTGATTGCATACTCAGTACAATTAGGCGAAGCATCGTCCTGAAATTCTTTTATTGTAAATGTATTACTCATGAGTAACTAAATTTTGATCCTAGAATTCGCTTATTGGATTTCATCCGTTAATCCCAAACAGCACTCAGTCAAATTGACCTGGTCATTTTCAGTTTGTCTGTGCTGAAAGTTGATTGTTGTTACTAAGCTTAGCACCTTGTATCTGATTTTTTAACCTCAGCTAATTAATATACACTGTATGACCACTTACTGTTTATATATTAACCAAATATAAATATTCCGAGAAGACCAGTAAATTTAACAACCACAAGAGTATCTTTTTAATTCAGGACATTATCCTCAACATCCTACATTGATGATACAGACCCCACTGAATAAGATGATTAACTTTGTCGGACAATAAAAATAATAACCACTATCTATACTCCATATGATGAAAATAGTTCATATTTGTAAAAATTATTAGTACACATAACAATTACAAATTGATGTACAGAGCCTTGAACCAAACTTTAGGTATGAGGATTAGTGACCTATTGCCACACTGCTCAAACCGAAGTCGATAAAGTGGGTCTAAAGCTACGACCTAGTGTTTATAAGCCAAATATTTTGACCACCAGGTCACTGCTCCCTCTAGTTCAAATAAAGTAGAATGGTTTGATACTGTATCTCGTACATCAAAAACTAAAGAGTAAACTAGGGTCTATACTAAAACGAATATAGACGGTTAAATGTATTAAATATAAATCGACAACCTCAGTTATATTGGCGAGTGAATGCGTACCACTTCGCAAACTCATTCCAATAATGTAAAATAATAAAATCGTACAAAGTGAAAAACGTTCGGTTTTACTCAAAGCCAACAATATTCATCCAACTGTACCACTCTTCTACCAACTAGACAAACAATGTTCTACCATTTGGAGTCAATCATTCGAGCACCAATTAGAACAGGTAGTTAAAATGTTTGCAGTGATATAGGTTTTGAGAAATGCATGAGGTTTTGTTAGAGAAGTTAGACAGAGAAAGCGGATATCTTTACAGAACATTTGTAGCATATATATTACTGAATACCTTCTTTAGAGTAATATAATATCTTAACAGTCACTTTAAAAAAAATAAACTGAAACTTACACTCTCTTCCATGAAACATGGATCAACGCAACGCTGAACAACACTGTAGATCACATCTTCTAGTAACATACAAATAAGCCTGGAGAAAAGAAATGCATTATTCTTAATATGCAGTGTGGGCTCAAGCATCAAAACAGAACTGATATTATATACACCAATCAAAACCAAAAATGTACACTCATTACGAGCAATGACAGTTCATTTTTCAGATCTCAGTTAATAGAACAAAGACAGAATGATCTAATTAACAATAAATTTTAATTTCATTTAGTATTGTTTGTTTGAATCGTTCTACTGATGTTTATGACTGTAATTGATCAGTGGGCAAAGGTCATGAGGGATCGAATTGGCAGAAAATGTGAGAGAGGTTATCGTTCCAGATGAAGTTTTAGCGTTTCTAATAAAATCTGACTATTCTTATGACCTCCTTAGCACCTCTCCGTTTTGGGAATTCCTTCACTGCTTCTAAATTTGACGGTCTTCGTTCGTAGTTATTTAATTCTCGGTGGTAATAACTTTTCTGTAGATTCCTGTGATATTACTTCTGTTCCGCCTTGTATCGTTCTTGGTATTTCTTTTGAAACTTTAGAAATGTCAATGATAGTTTCTAAAGCTGTTTTGGTTCCTTCTGATGAGTCTTCTACGTATCTGGTTCTTGTGGCGTATCCATCTTTCTCCTTCAACAGCCCCTTCAAAAAAGACTTCCTCTCTGACCTATTATTTCCATATTCGTTATGAAGAACATACTTGTTCCACACAATCTACCGACTCTATGTTCGTTCTTCGGACTCGTCAGTTATTACTCCGCATTATTTCCACCCCTGCATGGAAAGAAAACACCACTCAATCATCCACTTGAAAGGAATACTAAGCGGGAATGGACAAAGCAGTGTCAACTATCTTTCAAAGAATTGAAGCACTATTTAGATCCCACCGTCTACTAACCCATTACGATCCTACAATGCCATTAATGGTTACAGCAGATGCGTCTGCATGTGGTGTGGGGGGCAGTAATTTCACATAAATTTCCAAATGGAGTGGAAAAAGTAGTAATGCACGCAACAGATCACTAACATTAACAGAGAAATGCTACAAACAGATCGAAAAAAAAGCGTTAGCGGTTGTTTTTCACAAAATGTTGTATGGAAGATGCTTCACGTTGTTGACCGACTCACAAGCCCTTACTAACTGTTTTTGGCTCGAGGTTCGAAATAGCAGCGCATTCGGCAAACCAACTGCAGAGGTGGGAGATGACGTTGCTACGAGATCACTTTGATATTCAGTACTATAGGGCAGAAGATTTTTGTCGGGCGGACACTATATCACGCTTAATAAGTAATTACCCTATTACTAACGACGATTGTGTCGCTGATTGCACAAACGTTTCATGGATGGAGTGATAACCCCTCCCCACAGCAGCTTGCCAAGTAACAGATGTCACAAGACTCGATCCTTCAACAAGCGATTCATTACCTTCAAAATAAATGGCCATCGTCTTTAGATGAAAAACTAAAACACCTATTTCAACAACGGCAATCTCTATGTACAGTTAGAAACTGCCTTATGTTTGGAAAATTTGTGGTTATACCACAAGCATCACAGAAGAGAGTATTTAAACAATTTCATACTTAACATCCAGGAATAACCAGAATGAAATCAATTGCACGCAATTACGCATAATGGCCAGAAATGGACGTTCAAAGACATAGTAAACAAGTGTGAATAGTATCAGTGTGCATCAAAAAGTTCCAGAACACGTCAAATCAATAACTTGGTCAGAACCAGAACATTCATGGTTCATATTACATCAGAATTTCGCAGGTCACGTAGGGAAAGTGTACTATTTAGTGTTAGCACACATATATTCAGTTCTGCTAATCTAGAAATGCCTGCGTTACTTACATCCAAACTACTTGAAATCCTCATGAATTATAAAATTATTTGTCGATAACGTTATAGAAACATGATCGATGTTCGTTTAAATATCAAAGAACCTTGGACTTACTATGAGAAGAAAATAATTAATTAATTAATCAGTTCAAAAAAATTTGACCTACTTTTCATCATTTACGAAATGCCACAAATGAATTTGTAAATATCGGCAATCAACTTGTATTTGTTGTAGACCGTAACGACCAAATGTTTGTAAACGTGCACACTCTATCAAAGTCTAGATCATTCCAAATTAAACAAGTAAATGAATTAAAAAGCGAAGTATTTTTGACGTATCATTGTTTAACAGCAAATTAGTTGAGAAGCAGTAAGTTAGTTTCAATGATCCGATAAAACAATATAGCTCAGTGGAACAATATAAAAGGTTTCAAAGAGCTAGTGGTTGTGGAAGCTGAATGAACAATTCATACACTTTGCCATTTAACAAGTTAGATCTATAAAAAACTGACATCCGAACCTTCAATCACTTAGTCTAACATTAGAAAAGTTGTCAATGATCTATGCTTGAAACAGCAAAGAGAAACAAATAATATGAGTACATGGGATGCCCACACAATGTGGAAAACCAGGAGGGTCATTCAAATTTCCTTACAAACTATTCATGCTTAGAGTAAGTGAAAACCAATGAATACAATCTGAATGAAAAAAGACTAACTTCAGAAGAGCTGTTATGGTATGGTGGTCATGAAATAGAAAACGCTCCACACACACAAGGAGTTCCAATGATACCATCCTAAGAAACATGAGAAGCACTTATGGGGTGAGAAACCCATGGCGAAGATAAAGATCAGCTTTATGAGAGACTTACAGAAATGATCAGGAAAACTCATCTATTTTGATGGAGGATGTAAACGCCGACGCCGAGAAGAAAAAACACCCGGTATGAACCCATCATGGGGGACATGAATTGGGAGAAAGGAACGAGAATGAAGAGACTGGTAAGATCATCTGCTTTCAACAACACGGTTATAGGTTGCCCCATTTCGATCCTGGGTCACTTCATCCCTCCCCAACCTAATAATCTGAACCTGCTCACACAACTCAGTTACACAATCAATAAATTGATGGATTGATTTTGCACATAACTAAAAAAATTTAGATATTGGTGATTGAGAGTTTAGAGAAGTAAAAAGCAACGAAATTGGCAATGTCTCTGGAAATACTTAGGTAATGACTTGTTGATAACTAATAACAAAATGAGTTTCGTAGTGGTAAAACACCATAACCCAGTGCTTAACGGTGAAATACAAAACTATTCAAAGTTATATAAGATTCAAATTTCGAATTAATATTCACAGACCAACTACTACTTAGTTACTAATTTTTGGAGGGTTTACTTCATAACATACAGTTGAACAAAACAAGCTATGACAAGAAAATGATTGTCACATAAAGAGATGAAAATAAATACCGATTATCGATTGAGTTAATCCGTATTAAGTTGATGAGTACACAAGCATTTACCAACTTTCCTTTCATCGAGTGAAAAGTTGACTAGATTACAGCGATGTTTCCAGGAAAAATGAATTATATTTGTTGAATTGTAGTTTAACTATTAAACTATTCTAAATTTCACTATAAAACTTTATGTAAAGCCCTATCGAAAGAAAACGGATAGTGGAATTCACTATTTCTTACTCACCTTATTGACAAATTTTTCAAATCTTACAAAGTGATAATACTTGGTTACAACATACAATAAATATGCAGTGCAACAACTGAAACTGAAAACTTGGCTAACCTTTAAACCTATTTTAATGACACCCAAAAGTAGTGATTCCCGATTCGCGTCAACTGCAGTAAAAATATCAACTCTTTGCGTAAATAAACGGCGTAAATGAGTAGCTAGAGTTGGATCTAAGTCAGGAGAATGAAATCCTTGACTTGAACTTCCAGTTCGTGTAGCGTCTATAAGATGTGATGAAGTGCTAGGTCGTAGACTACGACTGGAACGTGAATCAGAAATACGATCACGATTACGAGTATTTGATGAAAACAGCTGGCTGACCTAAACATGAACACAGATAAAAATTATTATATGAACTTGACTTGGAATTGAGATGAAAATAGGCACCAAAAACACTGATGAACAAATAAAACCCAAGTCAACAGTTAGAAAAAACGCAGATATTGTAAGCATAAACGATAAATAAGTTGTGAAGTAAAATGAAAATGGATGATCACAATAAATTTAGTGTTAAATATTAATAGTATTTAACGTACTTGTTGATCTAGTGATGCTAAATCTTCTATCACTCTTTTAACTGCAGAACGAACTGTACGTGGTTCCAAATTTTTCAGCCAATCCCTTGCTTCAACACTCTTTCGAAGCAGTTGTGCCAAATTTGTACCTTCTAAGCGAACAAAAGCAACTAGAAGCTCGTTACCAGTAGACCTGAAACGATTTGATACATCTTTTGGAGTAGTGAGTGATCTGTTACCATTCTCTGTATTAAAATCTTCCTTTTTTGATTCTTTTGTTTGTGAGCCTGAAAAAAAAAAGTGACAACCAACAAGCAAATAAACTGACCGTAATCATATGGCATTTGGTAAAGGAAAGTATTAATATCATAAGAAATCGATCATACTGCGGGAAATTCGGTCGACAATCTGGAGGATTCACAGATCCTAGATCAATGAGATTGTTATTTGATGTAACATATCCAGTCAGTCAGCCAGTAACAACGTAGAACTTCGTACGTACGTACATCAGTTCGAGTTGCCACACCACATTAGCACAGAGATGCAGTGGTCGATTCAAATCCCGTAGTGGTAGAGGTAATAAGAGTATAAGCAGCAATCGGGAAAATTAGTGTTTGGAGATGTTGTTTAAAGAGTATAATACAGTGAAATAAATTTGGGAAGAGAAAAAAAAGAGACAAGGAGGAATAAGGAGATCAAAATTTGGGAGAACACAAAGAGTGGATGCACCTGCTCACACCATTGCAAACGATTTTGAGCCATGTCATTCAGGGTCTTTAACCATCGGTTGCTATCATCTCGCGGTCCCCAACCAGGTAGTCTACACCTACCAACATGACTCAGTCCACTTGTCAATGACTTCATGGATTTGTGCCATGTTTTGATCTGGCCGCCCTTAGCTTTGTTCCAACCTACTCCTATACCACTGAACATCGTGCGTCGAGGCAGTCGGTCGTTGGGCATACGTAACACGTGTCCCAGCCATCTCAACTGATGAAGTTTCACTACGTCATCAATTGATTTGCCATCCTTACCTAGTACCCGTTTCCTAACAACTGCGTTACTTACTCGATAGTCCCAGGATATACGAGCAATGTTTCGAGGACACCTATGATCAAATACTAGTAACCTACGAATATCCTCTACTCTTACCGGCCATATGTAACATATCCATTACCCAATGAAGCCAGTTAACTAATCACACTATAAAATAATTACAATCTACGTACACAGTATGTCTATACGAGACGAAATGAATAATCACTGTTATTCAGGATTAGGTTAATAGACTGATTAAGGTGACATATATGTCAAATAGGAACGAACAGACTAACCTTTCTATTGAGTTATAACTCGCCAATTCAGATAATCAAGTTCTCAGTCAAATCTAAATTTACGTTGCATTGCATCAACTTAGGTTTCGCAAACGTATATTATCCTTAATTCATGAGTAACATATCATAAAATAGAATGTAAAAGCATTAAGCAGATATTCCGTTGCATTTACTTATTTTACATATGAATACAACTAACGATTCATTTCAAATTTAAGGAACTTCACCACACATTGAGACTGCACAATACAGAAAATTGTGAGAGTAAACTGAAACACTTACTCAGTACACTGGAATCTTCTACAGCTTCCAATCAAAGTCAATTCGTGATTAAAAACTGTCTTCACATTACGCAAGAAGTCACAAACTACTTCGGTGAACTATTCACCAAATAACCATTACCAATTAAGTTTATTATTATTATTATTTGAACACATAAATATTGGTACAAGGAGGCACCAAATACATATGCAAAACACAAATCTCATTTAATTTGTGTGAGGGCTGTGATACTACTCGGGTGCCCAAACTGAAGCAGGTGGTTTTCTTAGGGGGCCACAACAGGAGCCTTTGACCTAAAATTCTGATCCACAAGGAGCATCGCAAGGAGATGCAGTCCCATGGTAGCCAACAGTTGGTTCATACACTATTTGTTACCTCAGGACCCTGGAGCCCATGTGCACCATTGGTTTGGAAGCAGGTTTTTCCAACTCCCCTAGGCGGACCCCCCGTGTCCACCAACCCGGTTAAAGCGCCGGACATTCACTTTTCGTCCGCTCAATCTCGTAAACAACACCCCCGCCACGAGAAGGCAGTGAGTAGGACTTCCCTGGCAGAGGCTATATACACGTGACCATGTGAGAGCATTTCGAGAGGGAGAGCGGACTCTCCGCACTCTCGGTCGTACCAGGGCATATGGGGGCCAATGAAGCTTAGTTTCTTGAAAACGTTTAATTTTAGAGATCGCTATCATCATTACCAAAATTACATAATCATTACCGAAAAGCATAAAATCGTCGGCCAGAGAAATCAAATGTCCAACTGTACCAGAATCAGCCCACATTAAACATAATTTTCCAAGTGTTAGTAAAATAGGACCCGGAATTTTGCATACAGCTGTCTAAAAAAAGAATAAGGAAACAAGACAAGAAACGAGAAATAAAAATCCTCAGCGTATATAGAGAGCATAAGGTAAGGACATGTTGCATATCCTTTCATGGTAAGGAGAACAGGGAGTAGATAGGGGTCCATTTACCTCTAACACTAATTGAGATCATCGTAACCAACTGATGTGTTTTGTTCTCGATATTAATTGGCTAGTTATGAGATGGTTTCTGTGAGCAAGTGAATCTATTACTGAAGATAATATATTACAATTGACCTCAAGTTGACAATATCTTAGTAACAGCTGACGAAGGAGATCAAGCTAAGGCCTTTTAGTATCCTTTCGAAAAGAGTTGATATTACTTTAGTGCAAATACCAACAAATGACGGTATATGTTTCGTTGAAGAGTAAGGAAAAAACGAGAATCCAAGATTTGACTACTAGCGACTAAAAATATATTATCAGAAATAAGCACAATAGTATGATGCAAAAACTAAATTAATGAATAAGTGATCGATAAAGTATATGCAACAGTTACTTTTTAACCGAGTTTTACAGTATCTTTCCTCCTGCATTAGTGGGAAAAGATAAGAATTGAAACACAACATATCTGAGTAATATTCATAAATATAAAAAATTAAAACATGAGAAACATGTGATAAAAGTGAATTTACCTTAGCTAGATCACTAAGAAATTGAACAAGAAAATTTAAGTAACCAACGATAAGTCCTTCTCTAATTTGATCAATGCAAAATGAATTACGAAATTGTGGTCTACTAGAAAATGTACTATCAGTACTAAGGAAAGCCTGAAAAGAAATAAAACAGATTATCAGATAGTAACTATGTAAAATTAACAACTTATAGTTAATGATACTTCATGATTGTTCTAACAATTAATAAACACTTTATTCAGATGGTAGACAAAAATGCTCTAGACACAACATATACCGATCGCTGAAGGGTTGTAGCACAAGGTGATGCATTAGTGTTGTTACCTAGGAAACTTGAAAAACAACCAGTAAAATGTATTCTGGTGATTAATCCAGTGAGCTTTTAAATAAACCGTAATAAACAATTTACAACGAAAGGAAGATACAATACTAGTTTAGTCAGATATTTCAGCAACTTGGTAATTATATGAAGTTTCATGAATAGCAAGGTACAATAACGTATACAAATTGACAACATACAGATAGATGAAAATAAATAAAAAGCCAAACTTCTGATTAATTGGAATTCAAATCCTAAACCACAACCACAAATACATCAAATTTGACTGTTACTTATCAAGCGGAATTTCTTAAACTAAATATTTTGCACCTTTTAAAGCCTCCTAGGCAGTTTTTGAGCTGATTTTCAAATATTCGGCTTTAAACAATCGCGGTACTGATTTTAACCTTATATTAGTTTTAGACAGGTAATTAATATCACATATCATTTGTGGCTTAGAGTTTATAACACAAGATTTTACATTATGTTAAAATTAAATAGTTATCAATAAAATAATATTAGGCAAACAATTATATTTGCTGTGTAGCGATCACCAATACATTATGGCTATCCAAATCTTAGCAGGTAAAGAGAAATGAATAAAAGTAACTTAACGATTGAAGACTGAGTACCTTAACGCAAACAATCGTCAGAACAGGAATAAAGTCGAATAAGGCGGCAAAAGGGATATACAGAGTGACAAGATGGAACAAAGAATGGATGTTGCTAAGTTCAGAAAGTAGCTGCAATTTCAGTGAAAAATAATACTATTACTAAATAAAATTAAGAAACACAAAAAGATATCTACCTCTTCCGCTTTTAGTACATTGCGCAACTGTGAAACAAGTGACGAACTGAGAGCATCTAAAAGTGATGAAAGTTGATGATTGTTATTTCCAATCTTGTTCCTACAAAATAAAAGATATACGTGACTTGAAACGTCAAGTTTGATCTACTACATACTCCTTTGGTAAATGTTAGTATGTCGTGGTACTATTAATTTTTTTTACTTTACTACCCCGAAAACTAATCCGTGTTAACTCACTATCAAGCTTTGAAATTGAAATTATATTATTCCAGCAGCTTATAGCGAAAGAATAGTTATCTTATTCGGAGGCAAGCTTTCGTGATATTCTTACATATGTCTGTTTACCACTGTTGGCAAAGTACCCAAACTCATGAATAGAACCGATATAACACGGCACTGACATCCATGGCCCCTATGAACTGCTTAAGAACACTATTATTGACCTAGATTTTACTGAAACACAAAAACCAAACAAACTCTTATGTGACATCAAACTAGAAATCAACGGTTGATATAAGGATGTTTTCCGCCAATGCTTTATAAAGCTAACCCAGCCAGTTACTAAAATAACTGTGCCAGTAATTAAGGAACTAAAACCTTTGGAAGATCAGATTCTTGAGACTATTAAAAATGCCTATATAAGACGTTCATACAGATAGTTACCTAAAGCAGTTACGCTTTGGTGAAGAGAAGCTTTGGAATTGACCCTTATAACTTGTGAACTTTAAGGGTATAAATTTACTTAGAAGTGGTTCATAAATATCAGGTCAAGAATCCAAAACACTTAGAAACAGACTGTAATGAACTGTATTAACTTCTGCATTTACTTTAAAAACAAAGGCTAATGATTGGAAAATTGCTATCATTGCGCTACAACTGCAGTTCGGAGCACAGCCATTTATTGTGTATTTCGGACGTGATGATGGGAGTGTGATACCCCTTAGATATCTGAGGAAACGTTAGTATTATTTACAGGATCAAGAAAGAATGTTAATAAGAGCCTGTGTTTAATCTTCAAGCATTTAACCGTATGACTACTTGGATGTGAAACCATTTAAATCTATTCATTTGATTGTCATATTAAAGGCATCGTCAATTACTGGTCAATGAATCTAGGCAGTGGTTAAAACTAATCTATCTGCTTAAGATGGATTTTATTCTGAAATTAGTTTGTGTACGGTTAGAATCGACATCCAACTAGCTGACAGCAGAACTTCCATGAACAACTAATAACCTTAGGCATCTCAAATAGCAAGTATCTCCGTAGAAAATATCAATCGACGTCTAACCAGTGATTGCAATCAAAGTACATCACGCTGGTATTCCTTACCGCACGCTTAAGACTACTTGGTTACCTTGGAATGTATGACCTACTTTATGGTAAAAGGCTGTAACCAGATCCTTTAGACATATGAAGATACTCCGGAAACAGATACCACTGACTTAGCTTTGATTAACGATTGGGGCACAATAAATCGTGAGATTGATATTCATTGTCGATAGGATTCATTGAAACAATCATTCTGAACATATTATAAGGTTGAAATAATTCTTTTTAAAAGAAATCCCGTTAAATACAAATCAATAACTTGGCTTACACTTTGTTGACTTCTTCATTAGTTGAATTGGATGTTTGTAGTCCATGACTAGCCAGTTTATGTCGGAGATCCGTAAATGATTCAACTGCATTTTGGCATAATATATCAAAGTAATAAGTAGTTTGCATTCGAGCAACTTGATTAATTATTTCCAGAGCCGAGTTTGAAAACTGATTAGTAAGTAAAGAGAATCGATTCACTATAGATAGCGATTCAGGACTTAAATCATCCAATAGCACACCTTCAAAATCTACAGAAGTAACTGATGTTAACAGTGACCGATTAAAGGTCTGTACTCGACAGTGAATACGATCCAAAGCTCTTATCAATAAATTGACATCATTATTTGTGCTCTAGAAATTGAAGCATAAACAGAAATTTAAAAAGGCGATTGTAAATTAATAATTACAGCAATAAGATGTGACAATTTGTAAGCACTGAGGATACTCGATTAAAATGATACTGGATATCAGTCAATACAAAAAGCTTTGTGATGAATGGGAATAAATGTGGTCTTCAAATGTCCTGATAAAAGGAAAAATCCCACCGTTTCTCTCAAAGTGCACATTCACAGCCCCTTATAAGGAGGTTCTACTCGATCCTTAATGCGGCAGTGTTCCTTAAAAAGTGAGAGAATATGGATGATATAATTGAGTGGTGGGGAGATCACCAATAAAATTTGAGTTTTGACCCCAAACTAGAGATTCATATGCTATATTGTCCGATAAATTAACCCCTTAGGTGGTTACTTCAGAAAACCAACTTCTCCTATCTGGATAACTGGGCAGTCTAGTAGCCTGAAGACCAACCATGACAATTACAAATAATGTGAATTACAAGTCTTACAGACAAACGCTCACAATCCATAATTATTTCCTGATAAACAAATCTATTACATATCATCTTATTTACTTGCAACATTTTATTTCCATTAGCTTTGTACTCAATTTCACTTTAATCTTTATTTTACTCAGCAGCTCATCTTTATTACAGATTTCATTCTGCTAAACTAATCCTAAATGTGTTTGTTACCAGAAAGATTGTTCCCGGATGTGTCTTCTGATGTAGCTATTCGGAAACAAATCATGGTATTCGAAATTGCCACCTTCGCTTCCACATCTTGAGGAAGGTTGGGAAATTAAGCAGATCTGTTCACAACAACGGAAATTCTCCCTATTGATCCACTCGACATATCTGAAATCCAAGTACAAAATTCTAACAAAGTATACAGGACCTTATGTCTGTCACGTTCGCATAGTAAGGTTAAACATAACACAACCATCATTCAGTCAGTCTCAATAATGTTACCATTTAACAAATGAGCATGTTGATAAGTTTACATGGATAGTTCAAGATAAATTAATCAAATACTCGCATGTCTGAGAAATAAAATACTTGGAAATATGGAGCGCTAAGAGCTATTGTACATAAATCAAAGTTCATAAAATTTCTGAAAGGCTTTATGTTTCGAACATGAATACTGAAAAATAACATTTATTACTTATACTTGAGAAACTGACTTCCGATTCAAAACGAGTTCGAACCAAAATAAAAAATTCATGCATCAGTTCTTCAACCAAATTCGACAAATTTTCCTCAAAAGAACCATCATCGATTTCTGAGGCACTATTTTCTGTTTTACCAGAAATGACATCCCTATGGAAGGAATAAAAGACAGTTTCTTCGCTTAATCTAGTGTAAATATAATCAAGTAACTAGAAATTTCAACACGAACTGATAGTATCTTACGACCAATAAGAGATACGATTGGTTCCGGCATGTAATGAAAGTAATATGGGCAACACAATCATTATTTAATCCCTTGCTTTTGCTCATAAACCTAATAATACTAACGATTGAAGTCATTCAACTATCACATCTATGATTGGAAAGCCATACTTACAAAATAGTATCCATAGGTTCACTTTCATCTGACTTTGTGAAGTAAAAATCCGCCAGTAGTCCAATAAATTCAGAAAGCTTAATGAGGACAGAATCCGTTATGAGATTGGCGAAGTATAACACGTCCTGGGTGAAGAAAAAGTTTTAGATAAATTACGTTAATTGTTAAGATAATGAGGTAACAAATATTAACCTATCTTCCTTTAAATAAAGTAGTCAAGCTATTTTATATAATGTAATACAATTTATAGCTCAACTTATAACCATTTAGTCTATCAGAGAAACGAAAATGGGAGAAATTGAAAGAGCTATGCGGAACGTCAATCAATTATTTACAATCGACATCAAGTTTTCTATAACCTCATCCGCTAACTTCTCGCATAACACGATGGTCTAACGTACCAGTTCCTATTCCCGCCACCTTTTTTCTAAAGGTAGAATATATGATAAATTGGATAAGATTCCAGTCCTTTGGTAGGAATTCGAGTATCAAGCTTACATGGTAGATTACGGATACTGGGAAACGTTGACGAACTCTTTATAATCATTAAAAGGATATCAACAATCGTCAGCCACTATGATTTAAACTATTACAAGCTACTGATAGACAATCCACTTCCTAATTTTCAACTATATTAATCTTTGGTAAAATTCCGAATGAACTATTACCAGCTTGTATAACGGTGAGTACAGCTCTAAAATAAAATGAATTCTTTATATTTCACTTTACATAATTTGTTGAAAGGAACCTAACGCATGGGTTCACATATGGGCTCATGATTTAAAGATGCATGTAAATCATGAAACTTGACCATTTCTTTGAATTAGACGGGGATTTTTAAGTATGATCAACACTGAAGCAGTAAAGATGAAAGTGATACTTCATCCTAAACGTTGATTGCTCATATTGGAAATATTCCCTATCTCAGTTATGAGCAGATATAAAGAAACAACAATCAACCCATACTCATGTCGGCTTTTCATACTAATTATCAAAAACAAGCGCATCACTAAATACGTGGCTGCTCAACATAGTTTCGATCTTTTCTGTCAACTGCTTCATATATATTACCCCAGGAGTGACATATGCCCTAAAATATAATTCACGATCATCAAAAATAACTGACTAATAAGTGCATAATACCCTACCATTTCTTCAGAAGAAGACTCTTGGACAGATGGATTCGCAATGTTTTCAGCAGAACCAACGGTTTCTTCTTTCTGAACACTTCGCTTGTCTCCTTCACACACCAAAGTCTTAATATAAGCTAAACGTTGAGATACTTGACGTTTAGCCCTGAAAAGAAAGAATAAGTTGTCCATTAGTGTAAAACCGATAGTAAATACAACCTTCGTGAGAAAAAAAGCCTCATAAAATTGAAGGCCAGTCAGTCAAACGAAACCGAAAGTCTTACGATAATTTTAACAAACGTACGACATCATAAGACGGTGGGATAAACTTAGCTACATCTTATAACGCACTGAATTAACGCGAATAGCATCTACTTAAAAGTCTCTCCCAACGGCACACATCTGGAAGAAATTACTGTACAAGATATCTTAATGCCAGTAATCAGTTTGAATATGAGTGTTTGTTAGCTCAGAGTTTCTGCGTCATTTTATCTTATAGAGCCATGGATACCTTTAGTCCCTAAATGTTAACAAAGCCTGTCAAAAAAAATTTGCGTGAATACTCAGTTGTATAATATAGCATGATAGGCAAAAGTCTAACAAGTAAAATTAAAGTGTTGTTACCCACAAACGTAATATCGCTCTTGACAATTTTCGTCTCGAGAAACCAAGCTGCTGCAGAATTTTTAGACGATTAGAACACTCAGCCATATCGCTCTGGAAAATAGTTATAGAATCAACGACTTACAGACTCATCAAATTGACGCCATAGTTTCGAACAAATTTCCGATACTATCTCAGCGCAGTCCTCACGAATATTCTTAAAAGATGGAGTATTGTGATAACTCTTTAAAATGTATTTTGCTTTATTAAGGTCAAGTACAATTTGATCCCAATCACACTTGTTCATATATTTCCTTAAGCTGACTGGGAGTTCAACTAAGTAGTTTAGCTAGAAACATTACTTTAGTTAGTTCTACTCAAAATTTTGATCTTACTTTGTTTAGAGTCAACTGGGTAGTTGTCAGTGTGCCCAGTTTCTTTCTCTTATCAGCTAAATCTCCATTAATCGTACCAGAAACTGAAACAATGGCGGCAATATTTTGAAGTAATGAATTCATTTCGGCCTGGACGTAACTGAAATTAGATTTCATCTAAAAATTATTTGTTTCCTAGAAAAAATAAGACATACCATTCTAATGGTGTCGGTTGCACTAATGAATTTGCTGTAGTTGTCATATACTAGTGTTTGCATGTCGGAATCCAGACTGCGAATCTGATCGGTTAGGGCCTTTTCTTCTGATATTAGATCAGAAAGGTCTTTAGTCTTAAGACTTTTATCCAAGTACAATTGCGGATCGAAGGATGGACTGTCAATATTTAAAGGATCATTCTGATCAACCAGTGAGTTGTTTGTATTACTTCCATAAAACTGCTTTAAACGTTGTTTGATGACTTTACGTTGTAAGTCATCCTCCATCAGTTAGGAAAAGCAAAACTTCAAACGTTGAGAAGAATATCAAAAACTATAAAGCAGTATCTTGGACCCAATCAGATAAACAGGACGCCCATCTACTATCAGATATCTAAAAAATGTAAAACAGGATTACGACTAAAGCTATAATCAACGATTTGAAAAGACTAAGATTATCATGTAATGATGATATCGAATTTAGACCTCGAGTCCCAAGATTTGGGCGGCTGCTAACCTACACCAAAAGACCGGTAATCTTCGTAAAGTGAAAGACGGCCACTATATATAGGCGTGGTACAACACTGTCTTGGTACCGCTCACAAGAATTGAAATCGAAATATCCATAATTTCAAATTCTCTCCATAACTTGTAAATATATAAGCATATATAAGTTATTCACAAAAGTCACTTACAGAGCACGTATGTGTACGGCCATTTACTATGGAATATGAATTTTAGTTGACAAATTATTAATCTTACGAGGTGCATCCTAAAGACTATACTCCAGCATATTGGAAGTCCAAGAGGCCTTCGGAAAATCACAGCTTCGCCAATACAGACTAAAGATAACACCCAAAAAGACAATTGTACTCCCAGAATCACAGAACCCAATATTCTAAGTTGATTGAAGATCATCAGTTCATGTTTAATTTAGCAGTGAATTATTCTTCAAAATATTGGTGTTAGTGTTTTTGAAAAAGAATCATTTAAAAATCTGGTAATAACAGAGATATAGTGATCAATAAGTACACAAAATCAACAGCTCTGTAAGTCTTCGATATTCGGTGCTGATCGCACTAGCGTTAATGAACCCACCTAGCTGAAGGCGCTCGGTCACATATCCGCACCAGATCACCAGTACGTTGTGCCTCACATCTCCTGTTACCGCTAGTCACTTCTCGATACATCGATATTCTATCAAATATATCTTCGAACCTCTTAGCTTATAAACTCACTCGGTTGGCACGTTTCGACTATATGTGTTACTGGTTAAGGTGTTGTTAAACTCCAAATACTTGTGGCGTCTTAGGTGGTGAACCCGACGTGATCTGGTACACCTATTCGCAAACTGCGAGTCTCCTCTTTATGAGAACTTTATATATCATATTTTTCAATTCAGTATTTACACATTATGATATTTTTTCTCATATTTGTGGATGTTTTTTCTCTCGTTCATTCCTATACCTTTTATTCCTCATCATTGAACAGACTCCAGTGGTACTTACGATCAAGACCCTTACACTACCCTCATTCCAGCTAATGCCATTCTGGCCTGACGACATCGAAACCTGGTTATCCTACGCTACGATCTGTTTCTTGTGATCTAGAGAGAGATCGTTTTCATGATGCACTCTCTCAAGGAGTTTGGGATCGTCTAGTCATGGAAAATACTGAGGTAGCGTTACAAAGTATGACAGAGTTCCGTAACGTTATTTCGTATCGTTTGAGTTTTTTCTTTGGCTGAATAGACCTCGGCGTCTGAAATACTAGTGATTTACGGAATTCGGTCAGCAGACACACCCAGTTCGTTTACAGTGTTGTTTTTAACTGATACAAGCACTGCCTGCACCTGTTGGGGGAGCTTAGGCAAGAAAAACTGTCTAAACAGGCCCTCGTCAAAGGTCCGTTGACCAATAACTTCTCTCACTCATTGCAACACGTCTGTTGCTGAGCCGTGTTGTAGATCGATGTTACTGGAGTGTTGATCTAACTTATGTCGATCGTTTAAACCTCCGCACTTAAGAATAGACCTTTCCAGAGTTTCGCAAGTTTCAGACGAATTGCTAGTGTAACACTAGGTGTGACGTACCAGTTGAAATCGCGCGGTATCGCCTTCACTAATGCGAAGAACAGTTCACGTGGTTCTACCACGCCATCCTCTTTGAAGTCAGCCTCTGCGTAGGATAACCAGGTTTCGATGTCGTCAGGCCAGAATGGCATTAGCTGGAATGAGGGTAGTGTAAGGGTCTTGATCGTAAGTACCACTGGAGTCTGTTCAATGATGAGGAATAAAAGGTATAGGAATGAACGAGAGAAAAAACATCCACAAATATGAGAAAAAATATCATAATGTGTAAATACTGAATTGAAAAATATGATATATAAAGTTCTCATAAAGAGGAGACTCGCAGTTTGCGAATAGGTGTACCAGATCACGTCGGGTTCACCACCTAAGACGCCACAAGTATTTGGAGTTTAACAACACCTTAACCAGTAACACATATAGTCGAAACGTGCCAACCGAGTGAGTTTATAAGCTAAGAGGTTCGAAGATATATTTGATAGAATATCGATGTATCGAGAAGTGACTAGCGGTAACAGGAGATGTGAGGCACAACGTACTGGTGATCTGGTGCAGATGTGTGACCGAGCGGGCTGCAATTAAACGCAACTCAATTTCGTAAATGTGCCCTTCAGCTTAGCAACCAATCAGAATGAGGCGGGAATTATTACATCCGCCATCTCCGTAAGCAATGGCGATTGGCTTTCTTCGTTTTGTGCTTATTTCGGCTATTTCTTTTGTGTAGCTACAGAATTTGATGTTTCAGTGTGCTAAAATCCAAAGGTTAGTGTAATACTCTAAACGTTGGAGCAAAAATTTTCCTGATTTCGCTTTGTTTTCTGGGTTTTACCTGCTGCTACTGAAGTCACTGTATTTATTCAGCTAAGCTGGCTAGTTCTAACATAAGACCTTACGTTTTTAAACGACAATCGGTTATGTTTTACCTTGTTTCTTAGATATCGAAAGCCGAAGTTCGTTTTCATTTAGCTATTATAATTGTTGCTGCCGCCTGTGACTCTAACTTTCAGTTTCAGTTTCAGTTTGGGAAGTACAGGAGGCTTGATGGCCTATGTTAGTCCTGGCAATGGTGGTCTCTCAGTTGATCCAACTTTCTTTTGAAAGAGTCGACAGATGGAGCCTCAACCACGTGCTGAGGTAGTGAATTCCACTCGTTGATGATTCGATGGGAAAGTCGATAGTCAGCTGACAAGTAATTTGTTCTCGGCTTATGAACTTTTTTGGAGTGTCCTCGTAAATTATCTGTTTTGGAAGACAAGAAAAATGAGGGCATGTTAGGTGCAAATTTATCACTAAGCAATTTGTAGACTGTAATCAAGTCGCCTCTAGTTCTGCGATATGACAACGGGAAAAGGTTCAGCTTGGCCAGTCGAGATTCATACGGAAGCTTCGCTATTGCAGGAACCAGCTTAGTCGCCGTTCTCTGAACCTTTTCCAGAAGCTCACTGTCTTTTTTAAAGCAGGGGCTAGCCGCTTGTATGCAGTACTCAAGTTTAGGACGAACGAACACTGTATACAAAGTCAAAAACTTCTTAGTGTCGACATGACTAAAAGCTCTACGTATTGACCATAAGGTTCTAAAACCTTTGGCGGTTATTGCACGGCAGTGTGCAGTAGTCTTTAAGTCTTGACTAACGATAACTCCTAAGTCATTATATGTCTGGACGACTGGTAGCTCAGTGTTATTCATCGTGTATGTATCTGTGCCTTGATGACCGATATGCATCACAACACACTTGGAAGTATTTATCGGCAACTGCCATGTTTGAGACCATTCAGATAACTTCTTCAGGTCATTTTGAAGTTCTAAGCTATCACCCTCACATCGTATCGTTCTCCATATCTTGACATCGTCAGCATATAGCAAGACCGATGATGATAGGAGACGAGGAATGTCATTTACATACAAGAGGAATAGCACTGGCCCCAAAACTGTACCCTGGGGCACTCCACTAAGCACAGTTTCCCAGCTAGATAACTTTGAGTTCACCCTTACTCTTTGTTGACGCCCAACTAAGAAGCCTTTTATCCACATCAATAAATTACCTCCAATCCCGACATGTCTTAACTTATATAACAGCCGGTTGTGCGGAACTTTATCAAAAGCTTTACTGAAATCAATGAAGGCGACGTCTACAGGTAGCTTTTGGTCCTTAAGAGCACAACAGCTTTCACGAGCCACTAATAAGTTAGTGAGACAAGAATAACCTATTCTGAAGCCATGCTGCTTTTCCGAGAGGATCCGGTTTTTATCGAGATACTTAAACAGCTCCTTCGGAATAATCTTTTCTAATATTTTAACAACCACACTAGTTAGGCTAACGGGGCGGTAGTTCTCAGGTTTGTGTTTCGTGCCTGTTTTGAAGACAGGACTTACTATGGCGTTTTTCCAATCTTTCGGTAAGCGACCCTGCGTAACGGATAGGTTAAAGCATGTACTTAAAGGGCTTGCAACGAAGTTAGATAATTCCTTCAGTAGCCTAGGATGTAATTCATCGGGCTCCGTGGATTTGCCTATGTCAAGCTTATTTAGCAGACCAAAGACATCGAGTTCTTTAATGGTCACGCTATCCAATGTATGTACGGGGGGATCTGTATACGCTGACGGGAAGGGTGTTTCTATGGTATATACGTTGCTAAAGTAGTTCGAGAACACTTGAGCCTTACCAAAGTCGTCCTCCACTAATGATGAAGCAGTACTGTCTCCCCATAGAGCAGGAATATTTCCTTTTCTCCTTGTCCTTTGGTTTATATAGGAATACAAGCGTTTAGGACATTCTATGGATTCCTTAACAAGTTTTTCTTCGTACAATTTTCTAGACTTACGGAGGGTCGAGGCACACGTGTTCCGAGCCTTTCGATACTGGGATTTTGACACATCAGTCCCCAGTAACCTAAATCTATCCCACATTTTCCTTTTCTTACGAAGAAGGATACGGACCTCCCTACTGAACCATAGTGGTCAGTTTTTCGGCCCCTTTGGTATAGTCCAAGGGATGTGAGGTGTGGTAACTTTTAAGTATGAATTTCGAAATGCGTCCCAGGCCGTTTCAATGGAGGACTCTGGGTCTATAGTTCAATCTATTAACGATGCTGAGTGGATGATGTCTGGTATGTTTGCTTTCCAGACGTTGGGTCTGGACTGGACTGACGCGTGCTCGTGACTGGCATTTATATGGAAGTCGAAAGTTAAAACTGCGTGATCACTTTTACCTAGGGGTGGTATATGATGGAGGTTTGCAACATCATCCTCATAGTGAGTCAGTATAAGATCTAATAAGGATGATTCAGTGTCCGGGTCGTACCTAGTCGCTTCTTTCACATGTTGCACTAGGGCACATGTGATAACCGCATCAACTAGTTCCTGCTCGAAGGAATTTTCTGACGATTTAGTTCGCAGATTTTCCCAGTCTACCATAGGTGCATTAAAGTCCCCTAGGATTAGACATCGACCACTTTGGGATCAAGTATTGAGACTGCTTAACAGGATGTCATTTGCCTCACAGCTTGGACTGCGATAGACCAAACCAATCAGCAGCTCTTGTCCCTTGCATTTTAAGCGAAGACTAACTAATTCACACGTCCCACTCTCATGGGATACACTATCGATAATGGTAAATGGGATAGCATTCCTAATGAATAGAGCTACTCCCCCTCCTTTGCGCTTTTGTGTTCTGTAAGCCCTTACTAACGTAAAGCCCTCGAAATCAAGTTCTATACTATCTATAGCCTGTGTCAGCCAGGTTTCTGTTACTGCGATTATATCTGGCTTTATAGAGTCAATCTGTACACCTAGTTCCGATCGCTTATTAAGTAAGCTTCGTGCATTGGTGTAACAGATCCGAAGCCTGTTTAAGTGCCTTCGTGCTTCACCCAGAGTGGCTTCGGCATCATTCTCTGTCGAAGTCTTACAACCCGAAAATTTACAATTTTCAGGTCCTTTTCGCCAGCGTCTAACCTATGTTGTAGTTCTTTTTCGGCTTCCCGTCTTTTAACACGGTCTGCCAACGGTAAGTCCTTTCGGATAAAGACTCCTGAACCCTTTAATTTGTGTCCATTTTGTAAAATTAGGTCACGTTCGTTTGAAGAGCCGAATACTACTTTAAGCAGTCTGGAATGATTTGGTTTCGAGTCCGTCAGACTCCCTAGTCTATACACCTTTAGCAAGGTGACCCCAGTCATATTTTGAGGCATGAGTTGATTAAGCAGCTGCCTAACCAGTACAATGTCATGCTCAAAACGAGCTTTAGGTTCAGAGCTATCGCTCTCCTTAATTCTATGAAAAATAGCTGATCTGTCGCTATGATCAGCTTTCAGTTTTTCAACCACTTTTACGGGGGCAGGTTTCCCTTTTATATCAATACTTTTCTTCCTTACAACCTTTACCCATTCGTCAACGCTGCTGGTAGAAGCAATAGCAGTTGCGTCAAACCTAGTGTTGGGTTTTGGGGGGTTGTCGACGGCCTGAGGGGTCGTGTTATGTTTACCATTTGAAACCGATCGAGACTTGCGATTGCGGCTCCTAGGTGTTTCCTGTTGGATCCCATCTAGGGGACGGGGAACAGAAGACCCTACTTTTCTTGAGCCTTCTTTTAAAGCAGGCCCCTTTGGAGACTGCTTTTCCTTCTTTGACGGGCGTGAGTCATCTATCACCGGACTCACCTTAGTTTCCTTCACATTGATTTGCGTGTCAACAGATCGAGTGCTGTTTGACGCGTTCCGACTATGCTTGTTGAAACACTTCTTTGCAGCATCAACCAGTGAGATGGCCTCGGTTAACAAGCTGTTTGCATCCGAGCAGCACTGTTGACAAAGCCATACACAACCCTTCTTACTGAACCGTTTGAAAGCAGCAGGCGTTAAGTTCGTGCAAACTTCGTGGTACCAGCCTTTGCACTCGTCGCACTGCATGCCGCTTTCAACAGGATAACGACAACCCGGACGTTGGCAACTGCTTTTTTTACACTGTCCGGTCATTTGGGAGGGGTTTTTTTAATATGCGATGATACCCAGAAACAAAAAATTATCAATGA